CCTTCAGCCCTGGTTAAAGACCTAACAGGACAACCCCAGGCCTGATTTTCCTGACCATAGCCCTTTAGGGAGTGATGAAGCCTGGGAAAGAGTACAGGGAGAGACACAGCGAGGGAAATAATGAAACCCATTAGGAGTTCTGCCTCCCCATAAGGAAAGAGAGTCTATGCTTTATGGAGATAGGCAGTCCTATTGGGAACATGTAGGTCACCTACTATGCTTGGAGAATACTCAGCGCGTGTCATGTCCTTTCCCTTCACTTATGTCTTACATAAAGAAGAAATGACATACATGGATCCAAAGCTTTCTCAAGCAAGACATATACTGTCAGTAGAAATAGTAAAGCTGAAGGCAATTATTCCTAAATTATAATAACCAAAGATTGAAAAATTTTACAAATTATTGGTAACAATTCTTTCCTCATTTAAAAAAAGCTATGATTTATTGAGAATTTACCTGTATATCTACAGGTACTGTTATAAATGTGTCACATGCAGTGTCTGATCTCAGCCTTACAGACAGGGATTCTCCTTGATCTTTCTTTTCTCAGAGGAGAAAACTGAAGCTCAGAGAAGTAATTTATCAAGATCACACAGCCAGTAAGAGACACAGGCAGAGTCAAACCCAGCTTGGGCCCTTTATGTATGTCTCGAAAATATACCGCCTTTCTTAAAAATTAGAATTGCATACAGACAAGAGCCAGGTCTTGCTTTATCATTCACAAGTTCCTGAATTTAAGTTGGAAGTTGAGTGCATGGGTTGAGGAAGATGACTGGGACTCATTTTGAAATGTGCCATCTTTTTTTAGCAGATTCTGAACACAAACTCGAGACAAGTTCAGGAAGAGTACTGGGAAGATTTAGAGGTATGCCATGACCTTTTAGAACCCTTTATGTTTGGTTCAAAGTCAACAAGCACATGTCTTTTAAAAAGCAAGGAGATATTTCATATTTTGTCTCTGAAGATAAAGCACCTTGTATACAGCTTAGCATCTCCCAGAGTAAATACAGAATGTACACCGTAAACTAAACTGAAGTGCATGGGTCTGGCAGCAGATTTCCCAGTTTTATTTTTCCCATTCTGCATTATCTAATTCTCTTCCCCTGCCTTTTACTTGGCTTCATTTGTCTTCAGCAAATTTTCTGTCACTCCTGTTGGCATGTCAATGTTTGTCATAGTAAAGATGACCTTTTCTTAAAGTCATTGAACTGAGGAGCTGCTCCAGGGAGGCTAGTTCTGGACAGAGAGCTGGAGAAAAGCAGGAGGTGAAATATGAAATATTCCCACAGAAATACATAATACTTGGGAGCTTTTGTTTTTCTTCTTTCTTTCAATAGTAGCATCTATATGGCTCTGAAGGATAGGTCTCTTTATCTGTTTTTCTATTTTTTAAAATAAATAAAATAATCTCCCCTTTCCCATCCCCACCTTCTGACTTTGTTTACCATTTAAGAATTTACAAGGAAACAGAATCACTGCTGCAAACTTAATCCAATTTGTTATTGTTTGGTTTTTTCCAGGAAAGGGAAGTGGAGGCTTAAACCTTGGAAATTTCTTTGCAAGCCGTAAGGGTTACAGTCGAAAAGGGTTTGACCGGCTTAGCACCGAGGGCAGTGACCAAGAGAAAGAGGAGGATGACGGAAGTGAATCAGAAGAGGAGTATTCAGCACCTCTGCCTGCACCCGCACCTTCCTCCTCCTGAAAACCAAGCTTTGATTTAGATTAAGTGAGATTTACCCAGAATGTCAGATTCCTTTCCCTTTAGCACGTTTAAAGTTCTGTGTATTTAATTGTAAACTGTACTAGTCTATGTGGGACTGTACACACTTTATTTACTTCGTTTTGGTTAAGTTGGCTTCTGTTTCTAGTTGAGGAGTTTCCTAAAAGTTCATAACAATGCCATTGTCTTTATATGAACATAGACTAGAGAAACAGTCCTCTTTTTCCATCATAGTACTAATCTAACTATGGAAGATTTGCCCATTTACACTTTGAGACTTTTTGGTGGATGTAAATAACCCCATTCTTTGCTTGAACACAATATTTTCCCAATAGCACTTTCATTGCCAGTGTCTTTCTTTGGTGCCTTTCCTGTTCAGCATTCTCAGCCTGTGGCAGTAAAGAGAAACTTTGTGCTACATGACGACAAAGCTGCTAAATCTCCTATTTTTTTAAAATCACTAACATTATATTGCAATGAGGGAAATAAAAAAGTCTCTATTTAAATTCTCTTTTAAATTTTCTTCTTCAGTTGGTGTGTTTCTGGGATGTCTTATTTTTAGATGGCTACACTGTTAGAACACTATTTTCAGAATCTGAATGTAATTTGTGTAATAAAGTGTTTTCAGAGCATTAGCTGTCAGAGTGTATTTTCCAGTTTTTGCATATTTGCAAAAATTTGCAAATATTTTACATGCAACTTTTATAATAATTACACAAACCCACAAAGATTAGAGAAACTTACTCAATGTCTTCCACCAAAATAAATGTGTGTATTGTACAAAATTTAGAAGATACTTTGTTAGGTAGCCAATATAAATTAAAAACCAGCCTGAGTTTACATACATTTGTAAAGTCAGGCTCTTCTAAAATCGAAAGAGGGTTTTTGCCTACATATCAATCAAAGGATAAATACTTTAATAAAAGGTGGTCACAGAGGAAACCTGTATCTCAAATTACATATGCAAATGATCCATCAGTAGGGATCACTAATAATAGTTTTCCTTTTAAAAAATAATTTCAGGCCAGGTACAGTGGCTCAAGCCTATACTCCCAAGACTTTGGGAGGCCAAGCAGATGATCGTTTGAGGCTAGAAATTCAAGGCTGCAGTGGGCTATGATCAATCCACTCTACTGCAGCCTAGGCTGCAGAGTGAGGTCCTTTCACTAAAATAAAATAAAATTCCCATGCATCCATAGGAATATATTCATCTTTTACAATGACTGCAGATTAGTTTTAAAACATCTTTTTCATAATTCATCAATGCAAGTTAGTAAGAACCAGATAATTTTCCACTTTAAAATGACAGGAATCTAGAATTCTTTTTCAAAAATGCCAGCCTGTTTTTCAGGTATCATAGTAGTAGTTGGAATAATACAGATATAATTGACTAATCGTAAAGTACATGAGAGTACAGAAGGGAAATTGGGAAACAGTAAGTCTGCTAGGGCATTACAATCCTGTCCTAGCACTCCACTTTTATTCTGCCAACCTGGGTTAATTGAAGATGGTAGCCTGGAAAGTAATGAACATTGACTTCAGGCAATCTTTCCACTGATTATTCTTGGCTGAACTTCATTTATCGAGTCAGAGAAGGCACTGCCTGAGAAATGCCCCAGAGGAGTGAATCCTAGGCCTAGCCACAGTAGAATCACTGGAGAATTTAAGAAAATATTTTTGGGCACTCGCTCTTTCCAGCGATCTTTATTTAGTTGTCTGACAATGGAATACAGGTATAGTTCATGTTTTTAAATTTGTTCAGGCGTTTCTAATGTGCGATCACAGTTGAAAAACCATTGTCTTCAAGAATGGCTATTCTATCTTGCCAATTACAATAAGTGGGTAGCTATATTATCACATAAATTATAGTTTACAGATGTTTGGAGGGGGAGGACAGGATCTGAGTTGTTTTAATATGACTGTTAGCACCAAAATCTGAATGCCTTAATTGTTGGATGTGTTAAATTGGATAATTAAAATGGGCATAATTGACTTATTAAAAAAGCAAAGGGAAACATCTGTGCTTTCATTTTTTCTTCTATTAAAGTACCTAGAGAATATGATTTGGGAGAGTTAAAAGAATAGCTTGTCATTCACTGAGTTGGCCCTGAATTCTCATTTGCATAAAATCTTTTGTTCTAAGCTTTCTTCTTTAGTTTATTAAATCAGCATATTATTTTTCAAAATTACCATGCATCTTTTAACTCTCATCCAGATGTTATATAAAATCAAATATTTAGGAAGCTGAATGACAATTTAATCCATAGACTTTGTATTAGAGCTTGTTTCCCAGACTGTCACCTACATGTAGCTCAAAGTTGATGTAGCCTACAGCAATACTTCGCAAACTTTAATGTGGGTAAGAATCAACTGTGAGTACTTATTTTAGAAGTACTAATTTGGTCCCATTCCCATAGTTTCTGATTCACTGCACTAGGTGGGCCCTAGAAATATACATTTTTAAGAAGCATTCCTTGTGATTTGAATTCAGGTGTTCCATAGTTCATCTCCAAGAAACATAGTGCTACAGAGAGTAGTTGAACTTTAAAACATTCTTAGGCACAGAAAGTAATATTCTCAAAGATGTGGTCTCTGTAGAGTGATGGTTAGGCCTAGAAGTCATCAACCCCAGTGCCTCAAACTCAATTCACAAAAAGACCCAGATGCAAATTATCTTCAGGGCCAGAACTTAGCAGCAGCGTCTTCCTTTAGTCCCCTGATGCTCTTTATTCCACCAGGGAAAAAACTTAGGTGCATGAAAAGGCCACTAGTGGCCTCCCAAGAACTTCCTTTTTATTTTTGAATCACATCTAAAGGCTAGAATAAGCAAATCTATTTGGAGTGTTTTTATAGTATAATGATTTAATTAAGAGAACATAATCATTGATGATGGTAAATACGATTCCTGTTCATAGCCTTAAAAATTTTGAAACACCAAAACACAAAGATGTCTATCACATATCCAAAGTACTGATATAAAAAAAGGACATGGATTTTTCTGGGTTTGAAAATAGAGTATACACTGTACCATCATACAGAAAGGATTTACCAATGAAGACCTGATTTAAAAAAGCACTCTTACTCAGATATACCAAGATATAATATAAAATAGGAGCTTATAAAAAACAAGTATGACAATAGAACCCTTTTTGTTTCTGAACAAAAATGCATTTTATACAAACTCCCTTAAAATGAGTAAGTGATAAGAATGCTGTATTTGAGGACACCGTGCCAGTCCAGTGTTCACTTCCAGCCCTTGCTGTGGAAAGTGACAGCAGTCATGTTGATATTTGAGCAGATGAGAGCCAGTGTGGGCAAGCTGCTCAAGGGTATCAACAGGAACAATCCTGAGAAGCTGGCCACCCTGGAGTGCTATGTGGAGATGCAGGTCAAAGAGAATGCCTATGATCTGGAAGCCAACCCAGCTCTCCTGAAGCTGTACCAGTCCAACCCAGCATTTTTTCAGACCACTATCACTGCCCAGATCCAGCTGAAGGCCCTCACCAACCTGCCACATACCAAATTCATGCTGTGCAAGTGCATGATTGGCCAGGCACATCAAGAAGAGTGGCCATCCGATGCATTTTGTACCTCAAGGACCTGGAGACCAGCCTCTTTCAGGCCTTCTGGCAAGCCTTGGATGAAAACATGGACCTCTTGTAAGGTATAACTGGCTTTGAAGACTCTGTCTGAATGCTTATCTGCCCTGTCATGGGTATCACCAGCACACTGACCGCTGACTGCTGGCCGAGATGCCTGGGTATCTGTCGGACAGCCAACTGAAGGTGTGGATGAGAAAATACACCTGGAGTGCTGATGAGTCAGGGCAGATCTTCATCTGTAGCCAGGAAGAGAACATTAAGCCCAAGAACCTTGTGGAGAAGATAGACTTTGACAGTGTGTCCAGCATCATGGCCTCCTTCCAGTAACTGCAGGTGTTTAATAAATATTTGTTGACTTAAAAAAAAAAGAATACTATATTATACTATATAATTCTTCATGCCTTCAAAATATACATATATTGTCTAGAAAACTGATGGGTAAGTTGAGTCCTTTCTGATGCTAGTTCTAGCCTTGTAAATATTTGCCTAATAATTTTACCATCTCAGCAGGAGATTTCTCATGATAAAAACTCCTGGTAGTTGTGATTATCTGATTTGCTTATTTGGTAATTAATTTGTCATCTATAATTGGAAGAGTGTCAAGCAGGCATGTAGCTAGAACAACACAATTGCACTGGTTCTTACAACTCACTTATACTTCTAGATAAGGAGACAGCGCTATTTGATATAATGGCCCAGTCTTAGCCATTCTGTTAAGTTTGCAAAGAACACTGGGTTAAGGTCACAAAAGATCTGAAATTCTGAGTTCTAGATTTGATGATTTTACATACCATTGTCTTAGGCTTCTTTAGTAATCACAAATAAATTGAAACAGGTTTAAGAACTAAACATGTTCTTGTTATAAATTCTTGTTATTAAGAATTACTGATGATATAATAAATGAGGAAAGTAATAATCAAGAATTAACAATTTATTAATAAAAAGTATTATTATTGTTCGATTCATATAACTGAAAAGCCCAGGCATGGCTAGATCCAGAGACTGAGATGAAACAAACAGGATTTGGCTTCCCTCTCAGTTTGGCTTTCTTCAATACAGGATTTACCTTCATTCAGACTCTCCACATATGTGGTAATGTCAGAGGATCCAGTCCGGGTCCCATGCCTGCCAAGGGCAAGCCAGGCACAGAGCAGTAAGGGGTGCATGAGTGAGCGAGTGTGGGGTCTGGCCACTGCACACAGCCAGGTATGCTGACTGTGACAAGGCAGGTAGCTCTCAGTGCTGGCACAGGTGCTGGCTCCCTGCAAGGCTGCAGCTGCACCAGGCACACCACAAGTGGCTTCTACTGTGGGCACCGGGGAATGCAGTGGTGCCCAGAAGCTTGGAGATGCCAGGAACTGCAGAGCCCCAAAAAGGGTGTCAATGACCTGCCTCGGGTGCTCCTAGGTCTGGGCTCCCTGAAGGGTCACAGCTCATCCCTCCTTCTCTCTTCTCTCCTTCTTGTCACCCACAACATAGTGAGCAAGGAGCGTGTTTCAGCACTGTGTTACCACTCTTCAGTTCCACCACTAGGCAGGTCATGAGTTCTTGTCTCATGTCCAGGAAGAATGAGGTATGTGGACAACTGGAGGGTGAGTAAGGTGAAGAGGTGCTTTATTGAGTAAGAGTACAGCTCTCAGGAGACCCAAAGTGGGTAACTCCTTTCTGCAGGCAGTTCATCCTAATGAGTTCAGCTCTCAGTGGAGAGGAGACCTGGAGTGGGTGAGCTCCTCTCTGCAGGGAGGTCATCCTGATATCTGCTCAGCTCTCAGCTGAGAGGAGACCCACAGTGGGTAGCTGTTGGCAGGTGCTCCCAATGTCTGCTCAACTCAGCTGAGAGGAGACCCACAGTGGGTAGTTCCTCTCTGCAGGAAGGTCATCCTGATGCCCTAGTATAGTTGAGTCCAGGGTTTTTATGGGTTTTAGAGGAGAGGAAATCCATGTTGATTGGTCCATGGGTGGCCATGGGCAAGTCAGATAAAGCACCGTAAGTTCTCACTGCGGTCCACAGAACTGGCACTCTGGGCCTCTGGCTTCATGCCATCCCGGGCCTGAAGGTGGAGCTTCACCAGGGACCTGCCCCTTTCTGCCCAGAAGCCTGTCTGCCTCCCTCCACCATCAACCTACTGTTCACCCAAACTGTTTGTGCCCAGGGCACCTGCAGGCTTGTGCCAAGTCACCCTCAGCAACCTCTCAGCCTCCCTCCTGTGCTCATTAGAACCCAAAGTCCAGAGGGGACCAGGGTGGCAGGGGGCTGGCATGTCAGCACTCCTCCTAGCATGCGCACTCCCAGCCAGGTCATGACAGCACCTGAGCTTGGCCTCATCTTTGCTCCAGAATCACAGTGGGTGCCAGGAGCAGGGAAAGGCCAGGCAGTGAAAGCAGACATTTCTAAGCCTGTGGGAGTAAGAGCGGCTTCCTGGGTCCCCAACAGTGCAGAGATGTCTAGGTCCACAGCTGCGGCTGGGCTGTTACAGTCCCCTCCAACTTGGATGTGGGCGGGGCTTCTGCTTATTCCTGGCTCCTGCATTCCAGGAAGTATGCAGTCCTGGCTGCGCCTCCCCCAGGGCAGCCAGCATCATGGCAGCCTGCTCCTAGACTGGCCACAGCTGCCATCTGTAATAAAGGTGGCAGCCAGTAGTTCTAGGTTTAGATGCTACCAGTATTTACTCTGACACATATAGCTTCTCTTTCCAAAGAGTTCCAATACACTAACTGGCCTGATTTCGTTTGTGTCTATCTAGGTCAATTTTGTGTTACTATAAAATAATACCTGAGACTGGGTAATTTATAAAGGAAAGAGGTATATTTGTCTCATGGCTCAGCAGGCTATACAAGAAGCATGGAACTGACATCTGCATTTGGTGAGGGACTCAGGCTGCTTCTGCTCATCGTGAAGGGTGAAGGAAAGCCAGCATATGCAGCAATCATATGGGGAATGAGGAAGCAAGACAGAGAGGATAAGGTGTCAGGCTTCTTTTAACAACAAGCTCTGGAGGGAGCTAATAGAGTGAGAACTCACCCCAAGAGAGGGCATTAATCTATTCATGAGGGATCTGCCCCCATGATCCAAACACTTTCTATTAGATCCCACTTCTGATCTTGGGGATCAAATTTCAATATGAAATTGGGTCAGAACAAACCATATCCAAACTTCAGCAATGTGCCAACATCAGAACCAGTCACTGGGGCCAGGGAAAATGTGATGCTGGATTAGCCAAGCCTCCATGGAGCCAGGGACAGAGTCACATTCCACAGTAACTACACTGATGATTCAGAAAGATTGGTTTCCCCAAGAAAACATAGGATACTATTGCTAGTTGAATAAGAGCAGATGCTATGGAAGAAAAAAGTGGATATTCATTACTGTTATATTGGGCCTTAACACTTAATCCATAATATTTCTCAGATAATGGGGTTTAATATAATAGCTATTTGTATAATGTTTAAATTATTACATTAAAAAGAGATATTTTATGATTAAGTCTATACTAATGAATTTATGAAGATAGTCTCAAATTTCCACAAACAATATTGAATACAAGAAGAAATGTTAAACTTTGTTTTGTTAAAATAACGTTGAAAACCAAAAAATACATAAACGTCCAAAAGTAGAGATTTGAGGCTTAAAAACTATCTTTATACTATATCTACACCAAAAAAAGTTGATAGAAACATCCAGTCAATAAAAGAGACAAAGTGATCAAGAACCAAAATTTGATGTTCAGTGAATACTACTTATTGTGAAACAAACATGCAAGCAAATTAAGACGTTCTGTTGTCTCCACTTTTTATTTTGAAAATTTTAAAGCTACAGAATTATTGAAGACTTACAGTTAACACCCACGTATTCTTCACTTAAATTTATGGTGCTTAACATTTTGCCATATTTTCATTCTCTTTCTCATAGATACACACACATAAGTATAAATACATACACTAATTTATTTACTTTTGCTGAACCATTTGAAAATAAGTTGTATTATGTGCAATTTTTGTATACAGATTATACCTCAATAAGGCTATAAAAATGTTTAAATAAAGACAACAGGAGGAACTTGGGGTGGAAGCTGCATACATCGTAACTTTTACCCTAAATACTTCCGTATGTATTGCCCAAGAACTAGGACATTCTCCTACATAACCACAAAACCATTACTACACTCAATAAATTTAACACTTTCTTTATTATCAACTAATATGTAGCTCATATGCAAACCCTCATGTCCCCACAAAGTCCTCTGGAGCTTTTGATTTTTCATCCAGGATCCAATTAAGATTCATACAATGCATCTGCTTATATCTGTTTTGTCTCCTTTCATCTAAAGTAATTCCTGTATAATTTCTTCCTTCCAAAACATGGACATTTTTGAAGAGTCCAGGCCAGTTGTCTAGCACAATGTATCCCTGTCTGGATTCATACTGCTGTTGCCTCATGATTGTGGTATTTCCTACTTTCCACCACTTCATATTGGAGGCACACAATGTCATTTTCCCCCCATTATTGATGATACCACATGCGGTCACTTCAGTAAGATTGTGTCTACCAAATCTTTTCATTGTATGTGTTCCACTTCCACTTTGTCTTTAGAAAGTAAAGTAATCTGAGAGAAAACACTCTGAGACCATACAAGTATCTTGTTCCCTAACAACATTTTACCCAATAGTTTTAGGTATTCAACCATTTTCTGAATCCATAATTTTGAGAGAGTTCTCAAATAATGATTTTTTAACACCATAATTTAATTTTTACTTATTAGCTGGCATTCTTCTGTAAATGACTGAGACTCTTACTCTCCCACCCTAAGAAAATTTGGCAGCATTCATTCAGGTGCATAAAATAATTTCCTCATTTTATTTGTAAGCAATATGATATGCACCCAAAATTCATGGTATAAATACGGTCAAATATCTTGTTTTCCTACTTAATTACTCAAGTCCTTACCTCTTTTATTGGCAAAAAGTCAATTATCACCTTTCATTGGTTGGCTCCCCCTCCTTCCCTCCTCCCCTCCTCTGCAATTGTCAAGCAACAACAACAACAACAAAACCAAGAAAACAAAAACAAAACCTATGTCCCTTCAAAAGGCATGGATAGAATCAGCAGTAGATTTCCAGATGCAGCAAGGGCATATTCAAGTGTAAGACAACCATGCTGCAATTACTTCTCGCTGCCTCATGATGTCACTGATGAAGATTATCTATTAATATACCAGTCCTAAAAAAACATGCTCCCCTGCTAGCTGCCCTAATTCAGACCACCCTCCCTGAGTGCTGTACGTGGTTTCTAAGGGCCAATCTTTTTAGTGCTAGGTTCTTTTAGTTGATACACAGGCCCAGGAGTCCTGGGTCAGGGCTGA